AGAGTATTCATTTAGCACTTTCTCCATTTGAACTGTATGATGATTTTTTTGCTTGTGGTGTTACATGGTAAGAGAGAAATACTTATCACTTATATAGTTAACTGTGCATTTTGTTTGTACACTCATAGCGTACCCCATTATTTACTGAGAACATGAAGTGGATGTCTCAGATTGTTCCATTAACTTTCCACTAACTTCTCAGTTTACCAACATTCCTTCTTTGTCTCTCACTTTAAAAGAAGAGCTTTCAGAATGTTTCATCGTTAAAGTGATCATTCATTTTTATTAAAATCATTTTTGAATCTTCTTAATACGATAGTCTTTCTACCTAATCAGTCATCAATGCTTCTCAAAACCCTTATTAGACATATCTAACATCTCTCAAGCACAAATATATACATAAGATAAGGAAAACTAGTTTTAGTATCTATTTTTAAATGTTGTATGAAACCAACTTTGTCAAGAATAGTTTAACTCTTTGCTATGGAACGTGTGAAACACGTGAAGGGAGAGAATAGCGTGAACTGACGGCCGATCCCCCTGCGTGTGTTCCTCGCCGCTCATTCCCACCCAAGCTTGTCTTAATCAAATCCAGACATCACATCAGTGCATCTAAAAATATCCTACTGTATCTCTAAAAGAAAAGGACTCTTTTTTAAAAAAAATATGACAATAATACTAACTTTAAAATTTAATAATAATTGCTTAATATCATCAAAATATCCAGTTATTTTCCCTATTTGCCCTCATGTGTTGTAACTTCGTTTGGTCTCTTACGTCTCTTAAGTTTCTTTCAGTTTGTGGTTTCCACTCATCTCTGTCTCCTCTCTCATTTCTCAATTTATTTTTTTGGAGAAACCACAGAGCATACTCAAATGCTCCATTTTGGTCTCTAGGTACCAAAAGGTCTCAGTTACCACTAAAGGGAATCAGAACTTCTGGTAGTGACAGCTGATTCGATGTCTGGATCAAGAAAAGTACAAGACGATCCAGGAGCATCTTGTCATAATAGAAAGAAAAGAAACTATTAAAGGCCAGTGGTTGTATTAACAGAACTCAGGAGCCAACTTGAAGAGGCTTACACTGATCAAAGATGAGACAATTAAGAGGATCAATAAAAAAAGTAACCTTTTTCTTAAGAAAAAGTGGCTGTAGGGAATGTTTAGGGCATCACCATGTCAGTCCTGCTAGTGGCTAAAACAGTTACTGAGCCTCTCAGCCTTGTTTCTTCATCAGTGAAATGGAGATATTAATAGTAGCAATTACCTACCTAATAGCGTTGTACCCGGATTAAATAAGGTAATGCATGAAAGCATATGTGACTGCTCAATAAATGTCACCTTTAATGAAACTTATTAATATTACATTATCATTATGCCCCAGCTCTCATACTTCTGTGCTTTGAAAAAATAGAAAGTATTTTCTCTCTCTGGAGAGCAGAACTCAGAAAGGCCCTGGACTCTAGTCTAATGAGCAAGCTTAGAAAACGATGTTTACTCACCTAGGCATCGGCAGTTTCACGTCCATCTACTCAACGGTGCCTATGTAGGGTTTTCTTCTTTGGACCTGAAAGTGTGGTTTTTTTGAAATCTCCTATACCTATGCTATTATTTTTAAGTGTATTTTTTGGTAGAAATTCCTCACTCAGATAATTGAATTGTGGGCATCTGTGTATGTATCGGCTGCTTTTCGCAGGGAAGGAGCCCTCTGTGAGCTTCCCCTCCCAGAGAAGCAGCCACCAGGCGTCAATTGCAGATGTAATCCACAAGAACGAACAGCCTAGGTTCAGCATGCTAATGATCTCAGTTGTGAGTCTTTTTTATAATTTTATTATAGCCGAACTCCAGATGTTTCTAGGAAAATATTCATACTCGATGGAGACTGTTGCCATTACAAAGTGAATTTTCTTCTTCACCCACTGACCCATCCATAGCTGAGGGCCCAAATTACTTAGATATCGCTTCTTTTCTACTTGTGTCCCAAGAATGCAAACACACACATTCATCATCATCATCATCATCATCATCATCACCATTATCATTATCATTAAATGCATCTGTTATGTCAGATACTAAAAATGATATGAAAATAAATTTAAATGAATGCACATTAATCTATAATGTATGAAAGATGGAAAAATTATTTTCATGTTGTGAAGACGAGGTAACAGTATATTGTGATTTTCTGCATAGTCTTTTTTGTTCACCTCCATTATGGTAAGGTGACTTTCTTGATTTAAGAGCCTCAGTAGGTTCTTTTGGTTTTGTTTTTAAGAATGTTGTTTAAAATGTTTTACTCTGGTTTTGATTCACATGACTTTAAAAATCTGCTTTTGAATTGTGTCTTCCTGAAGCAGGCTATAAAAGTCTAGGGCGATTAAACCATTGCTTAAAAATCATTTCAGCTTCAACAATGTCTGTCGTATAGATATGTCCAGACTGATGGACGGGAGCAGGGCTAGATCTGCCCAAGAAAGAAAAGATACAGAAACCAAGAGCCCACCTCTGACAAGGGAAAAAAGGCGTCCCAAGGCCCAGGCAAAGTGTCACCTGCCTAACTCTTCTCCCTCAGGTTTCCCAGCTTCAGGAAACATGGAAAGAGAAAAGCAAGCAGGAGAGGTCAGAGGATCGACAGCCTTCCTCTGGGGTGATGAGCTGGAAAAGAAACCAAAAACCTTGAGCAGGGAATAAAGTATTTGGGAAGTACGGGAGGGACATATGATGATAAAGAAGACCACAGTGTCAAACAGCCCCAGGAGACACATAGGCTGCAGATATGATTTCAGGGAAAAGCGAAAGCCTACGAATACAGAATGTTTTTTAAATTTTAAAAGTTAAATCAGACATTGATTAAATTAATTTGTGATTAATTACAGATTTATGAAAAGGATAGGAAATTGTATTACAGCTATGTGTTTACTGCTGCGAATTTCGTGCGCAATCGCCCCCTCCTCTTCCCTTTCCTATAGTATATACTCCCGTAGTATTGTTGGTTTAGTTGTTTGATTGAAAAAACTCTTTTTTTGGAGACCAATATCACTGAAAAGAAAAGGATTTTGTCTCTTAATATGGTATCCACAATCCCAGGGATCCTGGCTATTTAGAACATGAATTTATAACCAGGACACCATTGCTCAACAAAATATCCTAATTACCAGCAAAATGACTATGAGGAAATAAATAACATGTTCAGTTTTTAAACTTCAACCTACACAGTGACTAAAATCACAGCACTTCTATAGATAGGAGTAGAGTGCAGGGAGACCGTCTACAGACAAGAGCTCAGGAAGGCCAAAAAATGTGTGACCCGAAATGACAGATGAGTTTTGTCTTTAGATGTTGCCCCGCCATGCTTCTTTAGAATTCCTTGGTCCATGTGTTGACTGACACATTGTCAGAGCTTTTGAGCGTAGGAAGAGGAGAATTCGCCCTCCACATAGTGCTCTCGAATAGATCATAACACATCTCTCTGAAGTTTTCCAACAATCCAGTTTCCTCTATTTTGAGTGCGGCTGAATATCACTGTGGATCGGCCACATTTAATTTATGATTGTCTGTGTGATTTACATTATGTTAATATGCTAATCTCCTCCAGGTGTCATTCTCTATATTCTACTGGTGGGGTATCCGCCTTTCTGGGATGAAGACCAGCACAGACTCTACCAGCAGATCAAGGCTGGAGCTTATGATGTACGTAACGAGTATTTACATACCTTTAGATGAGGATTTGTTTTTTGTTTGTTGACCAAGAGCCAGATTTTTTTCATTGTTCTTTTAACCATAATTTTCACTAATTTCCCTTATTATTTCCCTCTTTCTTAGGGAAAGGGAGATGAAGAGGAAAAAAATGCAGTATATGTATTCAGTTTGTATTTCCTCTTAGCTCACTGTCTCCTAAAATTGAAAGAAAAGCCGTTTGAATTCTCTGAGGAAGAGAATTTTGCTTGTCAAAATTTTC